TGGCCATCCATCTAAGTATATATATATATACATGGTTGTAACGTAAGCAACGACACTCTTACAAGACTCCAATGTCTGTCTGTACCTCTGTCTTCAAGTATTTATATCTGTCTGTCTGTGTGTCTGTTTATCCTCACCCTCCCAAAATAATTCACCACTTATTCACTCCGTGCTCGCACACGAATAATCTCAGTGTCTGTTTCTTGAAAATATGCATGGTTTTCTCTCACTTTTTCGCTGTTTGGCTGTTTATCTTTCTTTCAGTATCATAACAAATTTATATATTTTAAAATTTCTTAACAGCTTTCTTTCTTTCTTCGTTTCAGCTGCAGCTCTTTGACAGAAATAAGGACGGTAAACTTCAGCTCAGCGAAATGGCCAAGTAAGCGAAAAGCATTTTGTTCAACAAGTGAATATGTATGATAATACCACTGAACAAATAGAAAAAGATACCTAGAAAATAAAACTATGCTTTTTTCGTACACACTGAATCTCACCCAATCGCGAAGACGAAGGGTTGGTTATAAAATACAATGATTATAAACATCAGGCCAGACGACTTTTTAAAAAAATGTAATTTTTACAGAAAAGCAGAATTTACGTTGTTAAGAAAACTGCCTCGACCGTTCCTGTCAGAGTCAACCCAGGATGAATGAAATATTACATCTCAACTGAAATACGGTAACATCATCGACTTTTTCAAATGAGATTCGAACTCACGTCGTATGCATGGCCCGGCTAAGAGCCTAGTCATTGCGCCACAGTCGCCAATGTATAATAGTGTTGCTCTGGTTAGAATACTGGTTTTCTATTTTGAATAGAATAGTGCTGCTCTACGTAGATTAGTGTATTGTGCTTAGAATTGTGCCTTTCAAAGCTGAACAGAAAAAAGAACTGCTCTTTGTAGAATATGGCTGCTCTAAGTACACCAAGAAAAATGATAGAACAAGGATATCGCAAACATGATCGGAAGAAAGATTAGTTCATACTAAAAAGTCACGCTCAACTGAAACAAAGTACATGACAAGTATATTGTAATACAATATTGTTTGTTCACGTAATGCGTTTAAGTTTTTAACAGTTTCCCTTTTGCCTATTTTCTTTTCTGTAAATTTCGGCAAGGCTTCATTTTGACAGTAGACAAGACATTTGTAACTGCTGTACAAAATAACACCTTAAGGCATTATAAATTGTAACTATCAATGGAACCCTTGTTTCACGAATAACAGGCAATGTTATTTCCTAATATTACACAGGAAATATTTATGCCAAGAGACTGAATCGACCGGACCGTGAGTTTTCCAGAATGGTTTCGGCATTCTAACCAGAAAATATTAAATTGAATGTGTACAGCACCTCCTCTGATAAACCCCAACCCCCTTCTGCACTTTGTACATACTTCATTTAATAATACAATTTTTGTACTCAACGTATTCTTTGTTCAACAATACTTTTCATGCGTTTCCAGGACTTTAAAAGGATCTAACTCAATTTTCAAACACCGCTGTCTCTTCAGCAAGTTTCACTTTCCTTACCCACCTTTTGCACATACTATAATACATACATCTCACTCTTTGTTTCGGATTTTTTGTTTTTGTTTCGTTCTTATTTCTTTGTTTTAATGTCATTTTTACACTCCGGAACTATGGATTCACCTCTTAAACTTATACGAAATGGGAAATCTATAACTTGTGCCAGTTCATAACCTTTAGGCGCTGAACAAAATACTTTACAGAAATTACATGAATCTCAAAATACCCCATACATTTCACTGTTTAACGATTCTGTCCATAGCCGTCGCCCCCAACTTTGTAATTTGTAAAAGGTGAACTGAGTAGCAAATCGATTTGACCCTTTTACAGGAAGCTGATTATTTTTACTCTATGTTTCTTATCATATTATGAAATATAATATACGTCGTAAAACATTTCTTTTTAAAAACAGTAGTATCGTTCCTTCCTTGTTACAGCATTTAGAATTTGAATCCGTCAGAGAGGTAAATATGTGTGTGTGTGTGTGTGTGTGTGTGTGTGTGTGTGTGTGTGTGTGTGTGTTTCTGTCTGTTATGTAAGAGAGAGAGAGACAGAGAGAGAGACAGAGAGAGAGGCAGAGAGAGAGAGAAGGGGGGGGGGGGGGCAGAAAACGGTCAGGGCTACATTGTGATGAATATGTCTGAAACCAGACGAATTTCCCCCCTCCCTTCTCCCGCGTGCTCTTCCGGTCCCCGGATGCACATAATATTCACCTATCGGAAAGTTGTCATGAACAACATTTAATTATATGCTAGTGAAATTCAAATACAAAAAACAACAACCGAAATATTGAAAACTGAACTTCCAAAACTGTCTCGTTTTCTACTTTCAGGTTGCTGCCGGTAAAGGAGAACTTCCTACAGCGGCCTATATTCAAGGTATTTCCCCATGAGTGTTCCTTTCGCGCACGATTTAATATCCCTCACAGTGTTCCCCCTTGCGAAACAAAAGTGAAGACCGCTTATTCCAAGACTCGTCACTGCTGACAGTAGAATCATTTATACTGACGATGACACAGGCATAATACACGCGGATAAAAGGCTGCAACACTGACAGTGTCAACAGGCTTCGATCGGGGGCTGTATCTGCTACACAGGCGCAACAGATGCACAAAAAGGGCGGG